ATGTAGGTTCCCCTTGATCCCTCGTTGTGTATGTTATATTTTGAGACTGATCATAAAAACAAAATGGATTAAAAGAAGAACTAAACAGATCTTTCTCATATTGCAATGATCGATTCTATTTCTTTCACATTAAGTACTGTACTAGTAAATATGTGAAATGACAAACTCACTTTGAAGGTTGGCTTTCATACACATCAGTATTAAGTTTAGATCAAAAGTTACCTCAAGGTGCATTTACTGTTAACATGACTCGATCAAACAGATTAGAGGAAAGAAGAGAAAAGATCGAACTGACAAAGAACTAATGAAGATGGTACAAAGGTGGGCGCCAAGATCCCTCTGGGATCTCTTGTTAAACATGAAATGATCTGCAATAATATTTCTCACCACAGGTTGTTATACTGTTCCCCCTAACGTCACGTCAGTCCGAATACCAAAAGGATCCTTCGTTGAATGCCTGGAAGAATGCCCGGATTCTGATTATGTAGGAGCTAATGTAACTTATATTTTTTACAAGTTTAAATAATTGAATATAAGCACTTGTCACTTAAAGCAGTGGATAGCTGCTGCAACAAATATCAGAGATATTTCTTTCGGGAATGTGAATTCCAATTCTGTTTTTGTGAATGAAAGATTTGCTTAACATTGGACATTTATTTTCATAACGAAAAAATATACTTTTTTCTTGCTTGAAACCAAAACCAGAATTACTACTAAATTGATGCATGTTTTAACTTTTTTTTTTCATTTCAGAATATTAGCTGTTTTTGTCTGACAAAGGACACATTAAAAAAAATGCACACCGCAAAGTTCTGTGATTTCATCAAAAGTAACATCAACATGTGTACCTGGTTAAGTCCTCCGAAATTGTCGTGTGGCGGGAATGGAAGGATGTCAACATACCGCTACCAAACACAAGGTACCTTAGAAATTAAACATTTAGGAAAAAAATTATTACCATACGATGCATTTTACTTTATGTCTTCTGTATTGCTAAGTACTAGTTCTGTTTCTCGACAGTACAGCCCAATTATTGTGTTTTACAATTGTTCTTATATTGTGTATCATTCATTGAAGAATGAGACGAAGTGCGAAATATACCTATCGGCTGTTGCATACGTATATTATGAACCTTATTTCACTCGAGCCTTCCGCTCTTTTCTCAGTCTGTAACATCGATCAACCGATTTTACCATATTGAGCATTACCATAACTATGACTAATAGGCTAATGCTATCATTATTTGTGAATTTTTATTTTTAAAGGATTTTCGTTGCCACTGAATTATACAGATGGTACACACACAATGCTGTGTGCCAAATGGAAGGGCCGGGGCAATGGAGGAGACTTGGTCTTAACTGGGTGTGAACAGCAACTGAAAGTCGTATGTGCTAATGGTGAGTAATCATTAGATTACGAGTACGATTTAAAATGCTTTACATTAATTTTGTATCGGATATCAAATGTCACTCGAAAAGAGTTAGTTGTTTTGTTGGCACATTATGCAGGTCCGATCACTATATAGACCAGAGGGATCTTGGCGTCCACCATTGTTCCATCTTCATTAGTTCTTTGTCAGTTCGATCTTTTCTCTTTTTTCCTCCAATCTGTTTGATCGAGTCATGTTAACAGTAAACGTATTACTGATGTGCATGAAAGCCAACCTTCAAAGTGAGTTTGTCATTTCACAGATTTACTAGTACAGTACTTAATGTGAAAGAAATATAATTGATCATTGCAATATGAGAAAGATCTGTTTAGTTCTTCCTTTAGCCATTTTGTGTTTATGATCAGTCTCAAAATATAACATGGCAAACGAAGGATCAAAGGCAACTTACATATCAAATTTGAGAAAGATCCCTCAAGTTATTCCTGAGAAATACTACCAACAAACCTTCAATGTCAAAAATCGAAGATGGCTGTCGGTAGGCAATTTTGTTTAACTGATCAGTTTAAAAAGTAAACATGAATAATAAAGGATAGTGGGGAACCTGCATTGGCTGGCCCAAAAACTAATTTTGGGGCGATTAAAGATTTTTAAGCACTGGCAAAAATGACATATTGGTGGCCCAAATAATTTCGGCAAGAAATATTTCCACAGCGTTTAACACAATGCTTCGGAACATTTAAATTACATTGAACATGACATTGTTTGTTATATGTAAAACAGAATTAAACATATTTTTAATTCTTCAACCCTAGATAAAACCTGACATGATCCACTCCATTCAGGTCTTCCCAAAAAGAAATACACAAAACTCGCACCTCAAAGAAGACACACTGGCAGTATTAATATAGAAATTCTGAAAAACCCCATCATATTTTCTAAGTCACGGAAAGTTCGATTCAAATCGAAATAATGACAACTGAAAAATGTATTGCCCCCCCCCCTCCCCCAGTTAATGTGGAAGGGACTATAATTTCTTTTATTCATAAATTGTTCAACAGCCTAAACAATTTTTGTTGGGCCAGTGACTACTTCACTTTTGACAACTTTTGGTCGCCCGAGCAAAACTTTAATCACCATTGGCAAGCAAGAGACCGTCTATTTCAGGCACTGCTGCACAACAAGGGAAAAAGGGGAACATACATATAAAATTTGAAAAAGATCCCTCTTGGACTTCTTGAGAAATAGCGATAACAAACTTTCACTATCAAATCCAAGATGGCTCCCCGTCGGCCATGTTGTTTATCCGATCAGTCGCAAAAGTTGCCCTGCACAGCTAAGGACCAAGGGCAACCCACATATGAAATTTGAGAGTCCCTCTGGTCCTTCGTGAGAAATACCGATAACAAACTTTCACTATCAAAATTAAAGATGGCTGCCTGTCGGCCATGTTGTTTATCCGATCAGTCTCAAAAGTTGCCCTGCACAGCTAAGGACCAAGGGGAACCCACATATGAAATTTGAGAGTCCCTCTGGTGCTTCGTGAGAAATACCGATAACAAACTTTCACTATCAAAATTAAAGATGGCTGCCTGTCGGCCATGTTGTTATCCGATCAGTCTCAAAAATTGCCCTGCACAGCTAAGGACAAAAGGGAACCTACATATAAAATTTGTGAAAGATCCCTCTGTTACTCCGTGGAAATACCGATAACAAACTTTCACTATCAAAATCCAAGATGGCTCCCTGTCGGTCATGTTGTTAACCGATCAGTCTCAAAAGTTGCCGTGCACATCTAAGGACAAATGGGAACCTACATATAAAATTTGAGAAAGATCCCTCTGGTACTTCGTGAGAAATAGCGAAAACAAACTTTCACTATCAAAATCTAAGATGGCTGCCTGTCGGCCATGGTGTGTATCCGATCAGTCTCAAAAATTACCCTGCACAGCTAAGGACCAAGAGGAACCTACATATAAAATTTGAGAAAGACCCCTTTGGTACTCCTTAAGAAATACCGATAACAAGAATTGTTTAAGGACGGACGGCGGACGGCGGACGACGGACCACGGACGCAGGGTGATTTGAATAGCCAACCATCAAATAATTACTAGATAATAGTGTTAACGTATTTACGTGCTGTTCATATAACTGTCATCGTAGCAGACAGTTCATGTAACAGAAACAGTCGGCAACATATTGACAGATGTATTTATATATAAAGAATAAAGTTTGTCCAATATGTCAAACTCGTCTAAAGAAAGCATCATCTGTTCCCGTGCATTATGTCATTTAAGGATTGGATAAGTTGAACCTGCATTTTACAGGTTCATTACCATGTACTGTCCTAAATAATGACACTAATAAGGCCATGTATAGATCTTCGGTAGTTTCCAACGTAAAAAAAGTTGTTACCAACGGTTATTCAAGTGTGACAGATGACTAAATTTTTCAAAAAAGAAGAAATACTCTATGTACGTCATCAAAATATGTTCTCATTTTTTTCGGTCGATCACTGGATAGATGGGTTACACGGATAACGTTACGCCAGACATATGAATTTCCATTGAAACCTGTCAGTCCATATTAAAGGCCCGGGGTCTTTATTTCTTTAAAACTAATGCGTTTTCATAAAAGTGTGTATCATTTATATTGTTGAACGTCCTATGTAACATCATATGAATTATTGACGCACAGTCTATCCAATAACCAGAATAGTGGCATAGTAATAGCTGATGTAATTTCATAACAATGAACAATTAAGAAATAGCATTATCTTATCGTTACTATTTATCTATGGTTTCATCTCATTATACTTCACAATGCTAACCTGGTTTTGGTATCGTCAACTTCACTGTGCAATACATCGTAAGATATTCCCTTTTTGTGTACATTTTATTATATTATTGGAAAACTTTGATACGAGTTCCTACTGTAGTAAGTGCTTCATAAAATCAACACACTCTTTATCAAGTGGGTTGGGGAAGGAGGAAAGGGATGTTAGTTATATTGTTTTATGAGCCAAACCTGTTATTTGCATATGATCATAGTTATCCAGAAATGTACTGTTCGGTGAATCGACAATTCTGGCGTGATCATACTTATCGTTAGTTGTACTGTTGTTAGCACGATATCCTGAGTTAAGCGGGCGTATTTCATCGTAGTTGGTGTCGACTTGACCATCAGTATCACGAAGAACCTCACTGTAAAAATATCTTTTGATCAAAATCAAAAACAAATTTGAACTCAGTTTCCAACCAAATCCCATACAGTTTGACAAAGAGTGTACTACAGTGTATCTAGTCGTAAGTTCAGTATCTTTGTTGAAGGTTCCACCGGATCACCGCGCGACTGGAACGCCGCTTTAAACAAATGCTATGACCTTGGTACAGATCTACAGACATGTGACAAAAATGCTTCCTCGTGCCGCGCCACAATATCTCAATCCATAAAAGAATTTTGGGTTGGTGGATTTGGTTATAATGTGATCGAGTACACCTCAGGTAATCAATACATTATATGAGCTATTTTTGACTGAATACTTCTCCTGATGGTTTGTATCATACTTATGCTTGATTTTGGTGTGGCGTTATTTATTTTAACGTCCAGCTATGGTCATGTAAGGATAAGCATTCATATGTATAACTTATGAGAGCATGTATATGTACGATTCAATAAGTTATGACAATACAAATTTTCATTGTTCAATGTTTCCTCAGCTCGACAATAATATCAAATGCAAATCAGTTGAACGTGTGCACATGCGCAAACTGAACGTTGTGATCCAGGAGAAGCACCAAATATTTTAACCTCAAGAAAAAAACACAATTTTTCTGTTAATGTAAATAAAATAAGATTGGTGATAAAAAATACCATTTTCACAATTAATACACAGAATGGCCATCGCACCGTTTAACAAAAGTGCATGAAAACAGTATTTAACAAACAAGATCTCCCAGAGGGATCCACCATCGTACCATCTGCATTAGTTCTTGGTCAGTTTGATCGTTTCTCTTTATTAGTTTAATTAGTTTGCTTGACAACCATCTTGTTCCCCTGATCAGTCTCAAAAGCTAACATGTACCACTTAGGACTAAGGGAAACCTACAGATCAAATTTGCGAATGATCCCTCCAGTACGTTTTCCAAACAAATAGCTAACAAACTATAATGCTTAAATTCAAGATGGCTGTCTGTCTGCCATCTTGGTTTCGTGATCAGTTCCAAAATTTGATATGCGTAGCTAGGGACCTTAGGAAACATTCATGTGAAATTTGGGAACAATCCCTCTGATATGTTCTGGGAAATAGCGCTAACAAACTTTAACTCTCAAGTAAAAGATGGCTGCCTGTCGGCCATCTTGCTTTTGTGATCAGTCCTAAAATTCGACATTCATAACTTGGGAACATGGAGGATCTTTGTGTGAAATTTGGGAAATCTACAGAACTTTCTGAGAAATAGCGCTAACAAGATTTTTTTAAGGATTGCCTTTTACGATACACAATGACATTCAGTGTGGTACAGCAAGTTTATTTTAGGTTTCCTCTATGTCCCCTAAATAGAAGACACGATAAACACCAACCGCGATTCGCATTAGTTGCCTTTTAAGATAGACATTCATTTAGTAACATTCAATGTCCTCTAAATAGATGACAAGGAAGACTCCCCCTCATTAGGCTTTTCCTTTATGGAGTTTCGTTATCAAATACATTGAATGCATAAAAATACGTCATGTTCCAGATTATGTCGACGTAAGTAACTCGTCATTATGTGGGACGTTTGGTCAACTGGGAGGAGTGGTTACATACCTACCATGTGGAGAAAAGCGTCCATTTATTTGTGACTTTACATCACGTAAGATATGTTTCTAAAATTGTTAAGACGATGTGTCACGCAGTGTTGTTAATTTCATTACAAAGAATAAATGACGACATAACTGCACAGACAAACCTTGCCGATTTAGCCTCAATATTATTCGTTCTCTTGGATATTTCGTAACGATTTAACCTCGTATTTGTAAGAATCTTCGTCATTGATTGTGTTCGCAATGTTTTACCGTTGCAGATATCTCGATATTGGCGATTGTCGTGTCGATTGTCGGACTGATAATTGCAGCAGTCGTTGTAGCGATATTTGTCAGAAGGTTTCGGAGGTACGTTTATTTAAATCCACTTGATGAATTCCTTTTTACATTTAAAAGCATGAAATATATGTATACACATCTAAATTACATAAATCAGAACTATTACAACTATGTTTATTCCAAGGTCAAGGAAATCTGCAGCCCTGGACATACTCAGTCGCGAGAATGACGAAAACCAGTCCGATATCAATTTCGTCAGCAATGAATACAGAACCGTTGGAGACTCCCAAATCGGTACTGGTGAGAATCTTCGTGATACTGATGGTCAAGTCGGCACTAACTACGATGAAATACGCCCGCTTAATTCAGGATATCTTGCTAACAACAGTACAACTAACGATAACTATGATCACGCCAGAATTGTCGATTCACCGAACAGTACATTTCAGGATAACTATGATCATATGCAAATAACAGGTTTGGCTCATAAAACAATTAACGACGATTACGATCATATGCCAAAACCAAATTCATCTGAACAAACGAGTGACGGTAACTACGATCTCATACAAAAAACAAATCCTTCTGTTAAAATAATTGACGATGATTACGACCATGTACAAATATCTTGAACAGAGTAAAGAATGCTTTTCTGTGGGACGCCCATCCTGTTCATGGGCGTTCGTTTATGTTGTTCTATTCCGTCCTCGACATACTGATAGGAAGTTTGATTCCGTATTTTCAAGTGCTTGCTTTTCTAGTTCAGGAAGAGGGATAACAGTTGCTTTTTTCACGATTTAGAGACTTTGCCTGGTTTATAATGTCATTAAAACATTCTCTTTCTTTTCTGTTGGATTGAGTCATGTAAATGATAAATGCAGCTTATGGTTATTTTCATCAACATTTCAAACAGCTGTTAATATAAAAACTAGCACGGTACTTAATGTGTATCAAGAGGAACCTTAATTGAAAAGATAAAGATCTGTCTGGTACATCCTGGGTGATGGTGATAACAAGCCGGAGCTGTCAAAATCCAGCATGGCTGTCCAGTGACCATTTTGCTTTTTTTTGTGAAACTCAAAATGTAACATGCACAAATTAGCATGGAATTTTATAAAAAAAAATCCAGTACTTCGTGTGAAATACTGATGACTTTGAATTATGTTCTTTCTGATAACCTGCAGCTCATAAACTTCAAGTTGGACACCTGTCGGCTATCTCGGTTCTATGACCTGTCGTAAGATAATTTACAACTGAAAATGATTTTCCAATTATTGGATGAATGGAAAAATGTCCTTACAATGTTCATGAACCTTTTACTTTCTTTATATGTTAACTTACAAGACTATTTGAAATAATGTTCTAGTATATACTATGTACATGCAAGCTTTTTGATATACAAGTTTATGCAGTACAAAACTTCTTTATACTAAAATTGGTCTATGTGGTGTGTTGTGATGTTTGGGTAAGTATGTACTTATGTATGTGGAGAAGTAGGTATTTTCTGCATATGTTTTATATTTATGTTATTTAAAGAGATACATGACGCCGGAAACGGTTTTTTTGCGTTTTTCACAGATTGACAGAGAAAGTGATATACCTTTTAAATCAATACATAATTAGAATATCCAACCAAAGTTGTCGATTCGTCTTGCCACCAAACACTAGAAATGTGTCCTCATAATAAATGTAAATTTGAATCGTCCCGATGGTTCTACGCGCCATTGCTGATGAATATTCAACAGAAGTTTCCGAAAACGAGTCACGTGATAATTCGGAACACAACAAAAATGGATAAGGAAGTAAGAAACACGTGGTTTGGTTTACGATTTTAAAATCGGTATTTAAGCATGTTTATTATATTCTTGACGACCTGTTTAGAATGTTACAATGCATTTATATGTGGGTATGCGTTTTGAATGGAAAATGTGCCTGTTGCAAGCCTAGATTGTTAGTTGAGACACTTCAGTGGTAGTTTTACAGTTTAGCGACGAACAAAAATAGCTACCTGTCGAGAAGAAAAGAAGCAACATCCTTGTTCCACCGCAACCCTAATTCAGCCTTCAGTCATTCAAGCTCCAGTTTCCGTCGTTTCCGAGCCGAAGTTGTTAAATATTCAACTGGACGACCACGTTTCGGTGCGTGTGTCGCCATATTGTTTTGGTTTTCGGAGGTCGGGTCATGAGCTCGGGTCATGAAGGTTACGTCATGTCACGTAACTTGTAATTATGCAAAATAGCCTTTTATGGGAATTTATGCCGACCGGCATTTATTCATTTTTTTTATTTTTATATTTACAGCTCTATCTTTGTAGAAACTTTTCAAACTTTGTATTAGCATAAAGTTTATAACTTTCTCTATCGAGGAAAAATAAGGATTTGTGTTGGGTTTTTTTTATAAGAGAGAAAGAGCTTTTCCGGCGTCATGTATCTCTTTAAGTATACTATGTATTTATGTTTTCCTCTGCAATGAATGTGAATGATGCGTAATGTAGGTATGCTTGGATGTGTAGGTTTGTTATGTACGATATTGTATATACATATTTATGTTTTGTGATGTAAGATTCTCGTGCACGTATTTTGTATTTTTTTTTTATACGCTACGGACCAGAGGACCTAATTTTATGCCGGTTGGTCTAATATCTAAACAAGAGGCCCAAGAGGGCCTGTATCGCTCACCTGAATATTTAAGCAGTCATAGCAAACTATTCTCATTAAATATTATATTGCACTAAAAATATTTCCCTCGCAAACTTTGTTGGCTCCATCTGTTGAAACTACCAGCAAAATATTATCATAAGATTCTATGCTTTTTTATTCTTCTTCAGAAGTTGCTTGACATATTTTTCCCTGTGATCTTGTAAGTAGGTCAATGTCATTTTCCTTCTCAAATTGGTTAGCTCTATTCCAAAAAGCTACCAGCCAAATCTTATGAATCCATTCCTTTTAGTTCTCA